GATCTTGCTCTGCGCCAGTGATGGCGCTATGACAAAACACCCCCGTCCTGGGCAAAATGGATCATCGACTTCACATGCACTAGAGCAAAATGGCGGTGTGTAGTTGGTAGCCATGCTACAGCTCAAGCGGTGGCACGTCTTCGAAAAGAACAGCGACAAATACACTGGGTTCAAAGGCGTAGATGCTGAAGAAAGCGACCCCTTCTAAAATAGAATTGGACCGCCAAAGTTAAGGGAAAGGACAAAAGCACCTAGCTGCCAGTTTGGTGCGTGTGTGTGTGTGGGAAGTTTGGAAACTGGAAAGAGGCTCACACACAGTATGACCTGCGAAGTTGCAAGACTCCACACGCACACACACACACACACACTTCAAGAGTGAGGTTCACTCGCTTCACGTGATGAAAAAAAAGGCTTAAGGCGTAAGCTACGACACTTGCAGACAATCTAGGACCGAAAACGTACCAAATCTAACAAGAAGTTGACAAAACAGGAGAAACAAAGGGGCGCCAAAACGACTTTGCGTGGAATCGCAGGCTGGAGATCACGAGTGAACAGCGTGTGTCTTCATTCGCGCGGGACTCGTGTGTTGTCAACATGTGTATATATATATATATATATATACATATATACATATTATGGCCTCGCGAATCTAGCTTCAGCACGGGTCACACACACACACATGTCCCAAAGGAAAATCAAATCATATGAGTTTCATTTCACTTTTGGCGACATCCATTCGCTGAATGGCCAATTCGGCCGGACACAACCTTCCATGAAGGCCGGGACTTTGAATCATGCTCTTAGACGACTATTTGTGAATGGATGATTTCCGCCTCAGTCCACTGAGGAGACGGTTAATGGTCAAGAGAAGCTTTCTTCAAGAACGCCTTATTATTGGAAGATGTCACTTCCATGAGAACACAGTGACAGGCCGAGGAGAAGATCCAAATCCTGGTGTTCTGGCCGGAGGCAATGTGGAAACACAGGTGGGTTTGGTTCGTCCTACGCCTATGATCTCAAGGCCTGGACCCTCGGGCAGTTCATCCTGTGGATTGTCCCTTGCTTCACGGCTTGGTAAAGGGCTGCAGGGCTGCAAAGGCTTTCCGAGCGGGCAGGCGGTGGCGAGATGGCCGGCTTCAAGCGGGAAGTTGCGCCGATGGTTTGTATGAATTCCAGAGGACGACGAAGCTGCGTGGTCGAAGCAGCATCCATGGTGACAACAGGAAACAAATGCGATGGAACACGGCTGCGGACGACATCCAAGGCATGAAACTGCCTGGCGGTTCTAGTAACGCAATAATGGCATCATAGACTGGCGCATGAACCATGAAGGTCACACCTCTTTTTCATGTGTGCAACCGCGTCGCTCATACTGTGATGTCAGACTGGCTTCATTCATGAGGCGTTGTGAAACAGGAAAACAAATGCGGCGAATGATGGCACGCCCGGAATGCAAAACAGAGGTTTTTGTATGTCAGCCGGCCGGCGGATCGTGGTGAGAGAATGCGATGGTTTTCATGAGCGGCCACATGACCAATGGGGCCTTGCACTGGCCTTAAAAGCAAAGAAATGGTCGCCAGCTTCCGATTCTAGGGACATGTCTCCACCGTCAAAAGCTTCATGGCAGGGGATCTGTGCATCCGGTGTACTGAGCCACCTGCTGGAAGCCAAAGTAAGACACTTGTCAACGTATTTTAGAAGGACAATGTCATCGTTGTAGGTAGGGCCTGCAGAAGGATACGTGCGGCTCGAGAGCCGTCCAGTAGCTGCAATTGCCGTGCCAGCAATCCCATAGGACTGCCAAACACTTGCATGCCTGAAAAACAGGTCGAATATCTTCAGTCCAAATCGTTCGCTGCGAGACTTTGCACGACGTCGTCGCCCATGGAAAGTCTGACGGAAGACTCTTGTTTTTCAATATCCGCTGCAAATGAAACACAACGCGAATTGCATTGGATGTCTCCGCACCAATTCAATGGCAAGCGCCAGCAATGGCAGAATTGTTCCCGATCAACGGATGTAAAAACTCCAAGCAAATCTTGGTTGATCAAGGAAACATCGAGTTGGCCGGATTGAACAAACGCCTGGACACGGTTCAAATCGAAGAAGTCGCGATGCGCGAATAGAATTGAGCCAAGCCATTGGAATAAAATCCAGGATCGAAAACGTTGTCAAAACAAACAAGAAGCCATAGATCAGGAGAAGCAAAGCGGAGCCAAAAGTCCATCCCTGCAATCCTCTGCAGGTACTTCCAGCTGATCGGGCTGGATATTACGAGTCAACAGCGTCTTCGTTGGCGAAGGAGTCGCTAAACTCTCTGCACCCCCTGCATGTTGTCAAAATGATCTTGTGATTTTAAAGTGCGTGTCCCAGCACGGGTCACACATACACACACCAGCATTTAAGGTATGATGGGCTGGGATGCGCCGTGCCAAAACAACACCTGTGCAATGCAACAGAACGACATTACATTCTTTCATACCTGCTGCAGTATCGAACATTCTGTCACAACCCAACAGTCAAATATTCAGCTGAGCAACATCACGTTGAGCACTGCCTGACCAGCTGCGTTGAGCGGTCAAAGGCAAAATGTGGGGTCGCGACTAAAATGAGAATGAATCCCACCAACTAAAACACAAAATTTGCCAACTCCAGAGGTAAGCTGCAAAACAGCAGAACGCTATGTACAGCGTGAAGAGCGACGACCAGCCTGAGCTCAGCAAAGCGCATCGTGGCCCCAACAAAAGCGCGGCTTTGCACATGTACACTTTTCTATTCCTGCTAGGCCCTGTCACTCAGCCGTTCACGGACATTGAAATCGAAAGAATGTCTTTAAAAAGACTAAGAGGTGCTCAATGGTTCTCCGGGCTTCGAATCCAAGCTTGGCATGCTGGCACCAGGTCTTTGGACGACCCGGCAAACTGCCAACGTCACTTCTGGCAACACCACCCAGTCACACGGTCACTTGAGTCATCCCTGACTCAGTGGGAATCACTAGTGTTTTGTTGTGTGTGTGTGGGTGACACATCCAGCTTTCGTCGTGGTGCTTGAAGCCCTGAATCAGGCAAGCAACGGCACGTGAAAAAAAACATACACCGACAACCAAACAAACCACCAGCCACCGCAAGCGCGATTCACAGCTGGACGGCGGCAAGCTGCGAGCAGCTGAAAATAAAGGCGAGAATACAAAGCCGATCCAACGACTAGCCTTCGAAATGCAAGATCATCGAAAGCCATGAACTTGCTACAAATCAGTCCACACGAACCTGGCTGACACACAAGGAACCGCCAGCTTGGCACCAAACATACTAACGGATTTACATCAAGTAATATAATATGCAAATCCGCAAGAGCACAATGGACAGGTGAGCACTTTCTGCAGGACTCTGATGTGAGGGACTTATTGATGCCTCTTTTCACGATCTCTGCGCCACGCGGCAGGCTTACTTCAATGGCAATGAGATGGTTTCGTGTTGGACATGTTTCATGCAGCAAATCTCGGCACCGGAATTGTCTTTGCACGGCCATTGCCACTTGTTGAGCACATCTGTTCGTCTGACATCCGATCAGCCACGGAAGCCGGATCGGAAAGACATCAATCTTCAAAAGACCATGAGAGGTTTGCCAACTCCAGGGCATGTAAAAAAATAAATGGGCAAGCCCAGGCAAGATCCTTCCAAGGAGCCCCAGCCCAAGGAATTCTCCAGCGCCATCACCGCGTGGCGCCACTCCAGGCCTCCACTGATGGCACGAAACAAGGTGTGCATGGACACCAGCACCGTGCCAAAGTGGAACTTCAGGTTTTTGTCCTCAGGCCAAAAGCGAGGCCCCGAACGCGCGTTCAGGATCTTGAAACTAGCGCTGCCTTGTTTCGGTGAACAACTGATTGAATAAAACATATCTCCTCCCAACCAAACACATGGTTGGATGGGTTTGTTGCTGTGATGTGCCAGACCGCTCGAGGAAATTCCACAGGTTCAGCTGCACACGTGTCTCATTGATTGCCTGCTCATGCCCTTTTTCAACTCCACACGAAACAAGTTCTTTGTGGCACTCTCAGCAGTTTTCTTTATTTAGACGTGGGTCGCGCTAATTAATGTGGCCCAGGCATGTAAAATGGCTCTGTGATGGGCAATGGTAAGCTCTTTTGGGCTGAAGGTACCACTTCGGTCCTGATCTTCATCCCACACCGCCTCAGGACTGTGCAGGTAGGTGAGGTTGGCGTCGGCAAAAAGAAGGCTGAAGAGGTAGATGATCAGCAGCAGCAGTATGATCGACCAGACCAGAGACTTCAAGGTAATTGCAATGGAGAACACCAGCAGCCTTTCGGGCCAATTGCCCACGAGTTGCGTGGCACGTATCAAACCCGGAAAACCAATTGCCTGCCGGAGTCGATCAATGCGTCGGTGGTGGCCAACAGGCGTCCCGCTTCGTTGAAAGCTCTATCTGCCACTGCAAATCTAAAGTGATCCTATTGCCACTGGCAAACAAAGGCACGCGTTGCCAAGTTTGAGGTAATCATGGTAATCCTCAAGTCTGTGCTGTTTGAGACATGTTCAGACCTCCCCCGCTGGAAAAGAGGGTGCCCATGTCCGGGCTCCAAAATCAGGTCTCTGGAACGAAGTTGTAAGTGGGGCGAAACATACGTGCCTTGAATCCACTCAGTAAATCTACGGCACTTAGAACGACAGTCCTCAGCTGGTCGGTAACTTTGCATGAACTCACGTAAAGCCATGCTTTGGAAAGTGAGTGAACGAGCTGGCGAGCTATTCAGCTACCAGCGTAACAGCCAAATGGCTCGCTGGCCAGTTGACAGACCTAGTTTGCTTGCTGCCGACTTCGTTAGCCAGGTAAGCCATGTAGCTAATTGGCCAGTCAGTGAAGTCATGTACTGTATTGGATACACGAGCGCGTCAGCACGCTTGTTGAATTACCAATCATTCAGGCTTTGAGCGGATTAGGAGTGAACAAAAACACAGCATGTGGGCATGCATGCTTCAACTCAAATACTAGACAACTTTTGCAATTCGCCCGTCAAATTACCAAACAAATGTGAAAGCCAAGCCGTTCCCTCTAAAATCCAGGCAGGCATCCCTGGGGTGGAACAATGCTTTTGGCCTCATGGTTGCTCAAGACATGGGCCGCAACATATATAGTGCGAATACCACACGGCGACACCTGTCCTGCACAACCAATACTTGCGGCTGTCAATTGTCAGATCTGATGAAGCACACGTTCCACTTGATCCTCGTAATGCTGCAGAATACGCATCCGAGGCTCACACAAGTAACCAGCATTCAGGGCTATTGTCTCAAGGTAGCAGAGGGGTGATTGCAAGGTGCATGGATGGCGTGATTGCCACAGTTCGGAGTCCTCCAAATATTAGCAATGCCTCGTTGGCAGATTACTCCCCTACAAACTAACATACATGGGGTGCTATGCTAAGCGCAAGGATTGGTGTGTGACGCTCTCCGCGCGGGTTCTATGTTAATGACTTTGTTTGGGTCGACTTTGCCTTAGTGAAGGTAGGAATCATGAATTTTACTATCATGGAACTCCAAACCATAAGGGATGTCACCTCTCACAAGTTCTAAATGTGTGAGTTACCGTTGCATTGGTTGCCACCATTTCAAAGGGTTTGAACGTACTGGCCTCAGCTGCTATGTTCGTCTGTAGCTGGCAAACCAGCTCGCAGGCTAATCGCCTGTTTTGCCAAGCAACTTAGTAATACGTTTTTAGCTTGCAAACATATCGCTTAGCCCACTAAACTCGCACCCTGGGAAGCTGACACAACTATTGCGCTTGCTCATTAGAGAGTGCTGGCTGTCATTCATTTACCGGTTGGTTGGTTCACTAGTAAACTAGCAGCCAACTAGACAGCCAGCAAGTGCTCTAATTTACGCATCGGCGTTGGAAGCCAGAAGAACAAGGGGCATCCTTTTGTTACAGCTACGAGCACTCGGAGGACATGCAGCCTTCATCCTGTGCACCCCCGGACGCCGGACTTCGGTGGTGGTCGACATCTGGACATCCCCCCATCCTTTGGCATTTCACTCCTGCATTTCACCCCTTTCTCGCCGCATTTCCCCAAATGGCTCCCCCTCCCCGCCGTTTCAGCCTTTCAGCCCCACCAACCGCATGTCCCATGGCTCCGAGCCCCTCCCCGCCCAAGCGCCTCAAGGGCCGCACAAAGCGCAGCAGCCGCACGATGCGCAGGCCCCGGGCGGACCGCGCCAGGCGCAGGATCCGCAGCAGCCGCCAGCCGCCCGCGGAGAGGCTGTCCTCCACACGCTCCACACGCTCCACACGCTACCTTTTGGGAGGTCACGACTTGATTTTTCCGGGGGCCGCAAATGAAAAGCCACACCAACCCAGAATCACAAGCTAAACCACAAAGGCAGGACGTGCAGAGATGGCAAAGCAAGCTTCGGGCCCTGTCCTCCACGAGAGCATCTGCGATTAGTTCGACTAATGCGACCACCACCTTGGAGAAGCCATAGCAGCTGTCAACGGATCCCTCGCTTTGGCAGATCCAGGAGATGCGTGTCGGATATTCAAGCGGTCAGATTACAGTGTTCCCGAGGTGGAGGAACTATTGAAACAGCGCAGCAACACCGAGAAGAAGCAACCATCATACTACGCAGCAATTTCATGACATGAACATACAATCTAAGCACAAACACCACACCGCGTTGGGATTCCCGCAGGTGGATAGCCACCAAACAATTTTAGACAAACCCAACCCTAAGTTCAAACAACTCATATCCACTTTAGTCCTGCGCTAAACAGATTGTCATGATGAAAGTTGCACCGTTCCCATTGCTCGTTGCTCATAGTGTAGAATACTGGAGGACCCTCACTCACAAAGTCTCCTACAAGTACCCAAGGGAAAACACATATATCATCTGCTTTGAAAGGCGTTGGCGTAGCCGCAATACTCAACCTCCCTGCCGGGGCGCCAAGAACACGTCCAGCATGTTCCATGCACCGGCACCGCCGCAGAAAAACTCCCTGCAACCGGAAGCAATGATGCGAAGGATGACCTCGACCAGGAAGAGAAAGGTAAAGCAGGCGTGGATCACGGCCAATTCCTGGGGAAGTGACTCGTTCACCTTGGCCAATGCTCGGAAGGGCAACAAATTGCAACTGCTCGGTGCCCATCACTTTGATGGTTGCCGTCTTTTGGAGGCAGTGCCTCAGCACTAGCCACAGGCACATGTCCGATTTGCATCCCCAACTGGCTGGTTTGGTGCCATCGGGACCTGCGAATTTTGTTTGTTCGGCCCACGTCTGCATCAACGCCGCCGGCCTATTGCAAACCCGTACCAATAACGCGCCATTTGTAAAATTGACGCGACTCATTTGCCTCGCTATTGAGTCCCTGAACCACAAATGCAATAATATACTTCACTCGAGAAGTGCACTTGCACATGAACGCCAACAAGAGATTGGTGCTGTCCAGGCGGGTCTCCTTCGATACCTTGTGGATGGATAAATCAATGGCCTTGAGGGCGATGGATTCCATTTAATTTGTCGCTTACTCTCATGCGGAAAATATGAACAACCATCCAACCGGGACGGCAATGCAAGATGCATCCTGGCGGCCCGAGAGTGAATCTAAGTGAGGCCAATCTTGCATAGATACCCAGTGAACTTCACGCTAAGTCACGTTGGAGCACTCCCACTCGATCTGCACACCCAAAAGCATGGCATGGGCGAAGATGATCAGGGCGAAAAATGTCTCAAACCTGCAAGCATGGCCGAGGGCAAACGTGTCAACGGATTGGGCTGAGATGTCTTCCCGTTACGGGTTTGCTCCCCGGAATTGGGAACACATGGAAACATGTGTGTGTATATATATAATATATCTATATTTATATCTATATATATGCTACCCCCCCCCCCAGGCTGTATAGTTTTGATGATTTTGCAGTAGGTGAACCGTCTTGCTTTTTTTGCAGACAGGCTGTAGCGGTTAAGTGTTTTTTGCAGCAGACTTGAGCAGAGACACGCAGGCTCGCAGTCTATCATGTCCATTTCATCTAGTTTTGGACAGCATTGCACAACTCCAGGAAGAAAAAAAGCATTCCAAGCAAACATGTATCAACATGTAGACATGCTAGAAGCCTCAGGAATTCATAAACTGGACCCACACAAGGCAAATTAGGTACCCCTTGAACAAAAACAGTTACGCCATGCATTCTGTTGTCGGCAAGATTATTTTGCAGAGAACGAGCTGTGTTTACGTGCAATTTCTTCGCGCAAGTCTCTCTGCGCAAGTTCGCTGAGCAAGTTTCTCCGAACAAGCGCTCTGAGCCAGTTTCTCTGGGCACAAAAATGCGTGAAACGCTTCGATGAAAGATGTTAACGGAATATATACCTCTTGCACACAAGAAATGCCTAATTTCTGGATTCAATATTCACAATTGCCCAGGAAAGCTTTCTCCAAATCTTGACTCCAGAAAAAAAGGCCATAGAGTCAGTTTAAGCCTATAGTATAATAGTATAGTGTATGAAGCCATGTTACTCTGGTGTTGGACACACCGTAATTCCAATACAACAAGAAACCAAAACAATCATTCCAAGCAAGATGTAGACATGCCAGACCCCGGAAAAAACTAGAGACAAACTTGAGTATCCCTGGAACAGAAAAGAGAAGCATTTTCTCAAGATTCAAGAATCATAATCGCCGAGGAAAGCATTGTCCAGGAAACGAAGGATATTCAACATTGAATCTTGCCCATGAAAATGGTTGTGTACACTTTTTGTCCACTTGCCCTCTAAACATGTGACTGTTGCATCTAAACATTTCAATACAGTACGTAGATCCACAATGCAGTATTTTTGCTTTGAGGGGAATCATCTCTTTGAATGTCTCCCCGTGAAATCTAAATACCGGTATTCAGGTTTCTTAGCACTGTCATGCAGCTTCCTTAATACCCGGTACTAAGGCATCTGGCAAGATCCAAGATTGCTGGGGGACTGTTGAGGGAAATCTTCGATCCAGCAAGCCCCCCTTAAACCCATAATACCGGTATTAAGGTTTCTTCGTACTGTCATGTAGTTTCTTAATACCGAGTATTAAGGAATCTGGATCCAAGATCCAAGATCCAAGATTGCTCAAGGACTTTTGAGGGAAATATTGGATCCATGAATGCCCCTCTGAAACCTGAATACCGGGTATTCAGACAAGTATGACAGTACTAAGAAACCTCAATACCGGTAGTAAGGAATCTGGATCTAAGATCCAAGAATTCCCTCAAAAATCCTCCAGCAATCTTGAATGTTGGATCTTGGATCCAGATTCCTCAATACCGGGTATTAAGAAACTGTATGACAGTACGAAGAAACCTTAATACCGGTATTAAGGGTTCAAGGGGGGGGCTTGCTGGATCCAAGATTTCCCTCAAGCCCATGTTTTCCCAAAAACATGAACAAAATCCCTGAAAAAAGGGGCTAAAATGCAGAGAAGCGGGGGCACTAGGGGGGTGGGGGGCGTACCTTTTTTGTATATATATGTACATACCTGCTCGGAGCTTGCTCGTGAAACATGGGCCCATGGTTGTATTTGCTTCAATGTTCGACCCCGGTAGGAGTCATCCTCCGACTCCATCAATGCCTCACCTAGCGCAACACAAAATGCGCTGGTGCTCGTAAGCTTGACAGCGACCGATGGAGTTCAATGTGTCTAGGTGGTGCTTCGAACCTGTCATCCACCAGTGCGTTCTCCGCGCACACTTTGCGCCGAGGATCTGCCAGGTCCACACAAGCTCCGCGATATAGCGCCGCGCCGGGTCCTTGATGTCCTTCGGCTTCGGGGCCCCGAAGTGGTTGATCGACATGCTCTTATCTATGTGCTCAGATTCAGGAGCCATCCGCATCTCCTCCTGCTGTGCCATCTCATAGGAGTTTTGCTGAGACCTCGAGATCCGCAATTGACAGTTGCTGACTCACGACAACAAGGATGGCCAGCGACCCTCAAGAGAAAAGGCTTAGTTGA